CCCCCCCCCCCCCCCCCCCCTCCAACTTAAATAATGACTGGTCCCTAAGCAGCCGGGGTTAACGATTCACACGATTTCTAAGACGTGTCTTGTGCGCGGCAATATGTAATATATAATTCACAGTACTTCTTGATCCGTAAGCAATGAAATTAGCCAATTCCCCTAAAGTGTTCTAATGTGGGCGACATACTTTTAAAGTTGGGTCAGGAGCCGATCTTGGTTGGTTAGAAATCAGGCGCTCGCGAAAACAGATCGGTGGGCGCGCGCGAAAACAGATTGGTGGGCGCGCGGTAGGTGCGCAGGATAGGCGACCAAGATCTGTCCGAGTGAGGAAGATTTCCAGGATTATAAATTTTCTCCTCGACAACAAAGAGACTTAAGGATAACTTTATTAGTATAACCGTGCTAAGTAAGTGAAAACAAAATAACACAAAACAAAAATTAAACAGTTAGCATCTTAGATAATCGTGTTGGAAAATGGGTCCTGAGTATTTAACCCAAACTGGCCACTCCTCCCTGCTAGTCCGGCCACTTATCATTTACTGATAATAATTTATTTTTTAGTGCACAAACAGTTTGAGAAACACGCCATTAACTCCTGTCCCATTTGATAGCCTCACTATGAACTTCGTTAGTAAGTGAACCTTAACCTGAAATGCACTTTGCATATCTGCTGAGCTCCATGGTCAATTCAGAAGAAGGCGTTAAAATGTTTTCCATTTACAAAGTAAACAACAGCTTTCTGCCGAGGAATAAACAAGAGTTGAGGCAAGCCGAAATTTATCAAACTTGAATTTCTGTAATTTGCGGTCTATATCACTTTCATTCTCGTTGATGTTTAGTGTTTCGAACCCCACACCATAAAATTTAAGCAATATCACACCATCTACAGCCACTTTGAACAAAAGAAAAAGTTTAAACAGAAAATTATAAAACTGTCAAGAAAATGTTTATTAGTACAGCTGGGAAAGGATTTCTAAGCGGCCTCCAGACTGGCTCAAAAAGTAAAGACGTGGACCACAGTGCTGTTATTTTGGTTACTTCGTTCTAAAAATCCTAATATCAGACTGTTGTTTTGACTGGTTGACATTGAGCCTTTTTTCTACTCTGAAAGCGATGAGTTTTCTTTACGGGGTCAAGATTGTAATTATTAATCTATTTATCGCCGTCCTGATAAGAAGTATTGTTGCGTCGCCGGCTTCGAGGATGCTAATGAGAAGCACAGAAGACGAAGGAGCATTAAGCAGGAAAAAGGGTGGAAAAGGAGAAAAACTTCCACCTTGGGCCGAGGCACACGGACATGGTAATCAACTTCATTATATTTTTCTTAATGATAGTCTTCAATTTTTTAGATACATATTAACTTAAAGGCTGACTTGGCCAACCTTTTTGGGTAAACGACACTAAAGCTGGAACGGACAAGGGGCAGGGTGGTTTTTGCCTGAAATCGAGATTGTGAAGGTGCATGGCACTCATGTTCTAAATTATGTGTTTGATATTGTCAAGGCCAAAAACGATTCCACCTCTGCGAGGTACTGACTTCGTGTACTTTTAGTGAAATTTCATTAATTGCTAATAATAGCTCAAGCAGGATTACCCACAACATTGAAGACATAACTGGCTTTTGACCGAGTCGTTTCTGCTGGCGAAACGGATTAGCAACCTTGGGCTCAGTTGTCACGATGCTGGGGATCTGAGGGACGGGGAGCAATTTGGCCTGTGCGGTACTCCCTGGAACAAAAATTTAGTTCAGTTGGGTATACTAAAGCCAAGTTGTTCTCGATGGGTTTGTCACTTGGTTGGCGGACAAGCCTGTCCTTTAGGGTCCAAAAAAAAGCCTGAGCCACGCCCAGACTGTTTTTTGTTTCCTAGGGTTAATGCTAATTTTTTCCTAATTCCGCCTTTACATGGGAGTCCCAGGGGATAGACTGTGCACTATCTACTAGAGAAACAGCAAGAGACAACGGGGTAGAGTGCAATACCTTTCAAATTTGGGCAAACTTGAACCCCTGTCATATCAAGAACACATGAACTTGACTGTAGGCAGAAATCGTATCTCTTTTAAGAGAAACACGAAGGAAATGGAACGGGAAAAGCTAGAGTTGTTCATTGCTTTTTTAACCCTGGTGAGTTGCTGTCAGGTACGACAGACATAATCGAATCCTTGGTTTATGGGTTTATGGGCAGTACTTATTTTTCTTCAAACATAAGCTGACGAGTTACAAAAATGTCGATTCTCAATATTAAAAAAACAAAAAATAACTCACATCCCAAGGGGTCTGATATCAAAATTATTTTTTTCTCATCCTATCTTCATGTTTACATAATCCATTTTCAAAATGAAGGTTTTTTACTCAATATCACTTTGAAAGTGAGGGTTTTTGCAACTGAAAAAAACAAAACAAAACAAAACAAAACAAAACGAAGGCCAGCTGCCCCTATTAAGTTGTAGTTACCAGGAGAACTCGATTAAAGCTTAAGGGGCTATAAGCCACATTGCCCAGGTGACTAAAGACGAATGCATGGGTTAACTACTAAAAATTAAATTTGTCCACCCATTCAAGCTGTCCTGCAGCCCCTCCCACATTTAAATTTTACTTATCAGATTATGAGCATGGCCTAGTTTGTGTAACCTGGGTAAGGCAAACAACAGTTGTTCACACACACTGTTGTAATATTCTAAACGTTATTAAACTACTGGAACAGTTAAAACTATCTTTTGAATAGCTTTTTATTGGGTTCAAAGATGGCAATATTCAGTGACTTCCAAGCTCTGGATTAATCAGTCTGTAAGAATTGTCCTTTGAACAAGTCAGTCCAAGTTTATTATACAATTTCACGGGCTTCAGTAATATGTCAAAAAACGACATGGCGTTTTTCCTAGGGTATCCAAACACCAAAAAGTGAGCTGGCGCACCCGAGTGTTTTTACTGGCTTTTATCTATGAGCAAAAGTGCCATGTGGGCTCTTGCTTTGAGGTGAATGGAAATCAGATCTTTTTGAGTGTGCTATCTAACGTTTTTTTATTGATCAATATATCTTTGGGAAATTCCAAGTTGGAATTCATAAAACTCTAAGGCAATTAGTATCCTATATTCAACTTCCCTTTCACTTCGTCTTCCTCTTCTTCTTCGTTTTTTGTTCACAAATAGACAAGCTTGAGGGAGACATAAAATTGTCCCCGAACGTAGCAGCGCTTGTCGCCGAGGGCGTAAGAAGAACAAAAAGGCCACACACGACAAGGGGTGCTGTAAATAACAAGATCTACTTGTGGAGCAATGGTCAAGTGCCTTACGAGATTGATTCGGTGTTTGGTAAGTGTTGTATAAAAGGCTCTTAAACTTAGCCCAAGGAGCCACCTTTACTCGAACTTTCGTACTTTTTGTAAGGTAATAACAATGTATTAGTACTATCTGGCGAAAGTAACGCCACGAAGCGCGGCGTCAAGGAGGCCTTTGCCGTCAAACAAAGACACCCATCTCTGAAGAGGAAAGAGGGACTGGGTCTCCCGGCCAATTACAATCCTCTCCTGGGAATACGTAACAACCTTTCATTTTGTAACCTGACATTTAACATTGCTGAAGAAGTTCGAACGATTCAAACGAAATATTCGATTTTGTCTTAATTTTTGCTCTGAGTCTGAAATTTGTAATCTAAATGTCGTCGAGATGGCAAATAAGAAAAAACCTTTTTGGTAATCGTGTTAATAGATTGAGCCTAGCAATTATGTCATATTGAACGGTTCCAAGTGAAAGAAGTGTACGGTCAAAATTTTCAGCCTAAAATGGATTTAGATATTTTATTTACTTAAGATCAGATGCTTTCAAGATGAAAAATACTCACAAAAACTTTTCCTAGATTCTTACCCCAGCGACAGAAAAGCAATATTGGACGCCATTTATGAGATGGAGTTGATATCCTGCGTTCGTTTTACCCCAAGGACAAACCAACAGTATTACCTGCGATTCATCAGGAGCTCCGGGTAAGTGGAAATTTATGGCTTGCTTATAAAATGTTTGATGTTTCATTCACGATTGAAGAGTGACGCCGGAAGCTTCAATAGAATGGATTGGATTCCCTATTACTATAAAATATTGAATATAAAAATCGAATATAAAAATCAGCAAATACCGACATACTGTGTTGGAGTATGGTCTCCTCTAGCTTGAAAAAACGGCCGACGTTTCGCGACACCACCACTGGTTTCTGTAAAATAACGTCTGAGGAACGACTACCCAAATCTTGAGGATAATCTCAGGATAATCACACAACACATGTGGGAGCTTTTGGTTTGAATTATTCCAGTCTCTTTGATATGGAAGTCCTCTCCCCGAGCGTAAACAAAATTGATTACAAATTCCCGGCCGTGATGGATAATATTTGCTGGTAATGATATAAAGACGCTAATAAGGCTGCAGTGGCTTATCCTCAGCGGATCAAGGCGAGACGAAGTTAATGTATAAAGAGGGAGTAAACAGTGCGTCCTATACTACTATCACCATAGATCTGTAATAATAGATTAACCTTATTCAGACCGAGGGAGGAGTTGAGCCTTCACTTCACTAAAAAGTTGAATAACTTTTGAAGCCTTCAAGCTATGAACGGCCACATTAAGCAATGTTTCCAAATCATTTCTGAGAAACGAGCGCAGAAATTCCATACTGATAACGCAACACTACCCAGATCTGGGTAGTGCTTCGATTGGTCGAGCAGCGTGGGAACTTTGATTCAACCAATCAGAAGCACTACCCAGATCTAGGTAGTGACGTGTCATCAGTATGGAATCTCTGCGCTCGTTTCTCAGACGTCATTTGGCGGGGAAAACAGTGTTAGCGTCACCAAATGTCGGCTGTTTTCTCAGGCTACCAAAACTTTATCTGGGAACATTTGAAAATCGTCGTGACGTTTCGTCGACATTGACGCTACCGTAGAGTTTTTCAAAATTTGCATTTTTCCTATTTAAAAACGTTTTGTTCCTATTTTTACTTATTGAATTATACATCAATAATTGAGTATTATTTACAGAAGCTCCCCCACCCCCGGCACCTGGAAAAAAAAAAAAGCTAGAAGCAGCAGAAAACACCGTTCTCTGTTTACTAACCGAAATGAAATTAAGTATTTTCGATTCATGCTAATAACTCAGAGCACTTGGTTTCGGGTATGCATATGAAGATGGGTATTAATAAAAGGTTTCACAGAAATAAATAAAATTATTTTTCGGGAAAATTTGAAAATCGTTGTTTCGTTTCTTTGAAATTGGCGCTTACTTAGAGTTTTTTAAAATTTTCATTTTTTCTTTTTAAAAAATTTTTTTTTCTATTTTTTCTTATTTAATTTAAAAACAAAAAATGAGTATTATTTACAGAAGCCCCCCCCCCCCCGGTCACAGGAGCAAAAAAAAAGTCTGTAAGGTTAATATATAACTCTCTGTGTTGTACTCTGGCTAGATGTTGGTCTTACGTTGGTCAAGCACAAATCTCAGGAGGTCAGTCAGTCAGTATAGGACATGGATGTGGTTCAATTCCAACTGTCTCACATGAATTAATGCACGCTTTGGGGTTCTTTCACACGAGCTCCCGTTATGATAGAGATTCCTATGTTATTGTCAGGCAAGATAATATCATTCAAGGTAAGGGTTTTGATGGAAGAAGATAGACCATTAAAGGCAAGCATTTAGCGCGCTTTTCAGCTGATTACGGAAAGAAGTGTGTGTTTGTTTATATTTGTATTAATGCACTTTCTTATCTTCTGTTGCTCTTAAGGGTATGAAGCCAACTTTCAGAAATACACTCACGCTCAGATAGACCGACTGGAAGCCCCGTATGATATGAGGTCACTAATGCACCTACCTCAGAATGCCTTTAGTAAGAATGGCTTTTCCACATTGGAAGCACGTGCAGGAAGTCATGTGGTGTTAGGATCGAAGTCAGGCCTGTCGGAGGTTGATAAAGCACAGCTCAATCTGCTTTACGGTTGCACAGGATACCCAAGTGGGTAACGGTGGGACGTTTTATAGGTTTGCCTAACATAGAGAACTGGGAGAACTGTTTAAAACACCCCAAATCATGTTTTGTTTGTTTGGTTGTTTTTTGAGATACTAGATAGTAGGATACCGTCAAACCCCAAAACACCACAGCTAACTTGTAGGGGGAGCGGTTTGGCGTGAGAGAGGGAAATTGCCGTCGTAGACAAGTTAAAACAGAGGGTGTCCACTAGGAAAATATGTGGCCTAGCGTTTTGAAGAGGTGGCCATTTGGTTCGACTGTATTTAAGGCCATTTAGTTACTGTAACAAGAATATGTGGGTTGAGATTGCTGTTGGTTGCCTTTTCTGCTCCAAGAGCTTTTTTTCATTTCGAGTACTCCACAATTCCTCTCTCTTCAAAAACGAACATTTGTTTTCAAAGTGCGATCTCGAAAAATCCCAAATTAGTTTGGGAAATAATTAAATAGTTTCTCGCACTTTTACTGAGTTGCCCGAGATTTTTTTGAACGATGTTTGTATTGGACGTCAACTTCCGTTGTGCTTTAGAAAGAAACTGCTTGAAAACTAAGCCGCAACTTTTACCGCACTAAATCCTTTCTATTTCTGATCAGGTTGCTTCAAAGCCTTTGGTATGGAATCTTTTCACATCCCGGATTCCCAAATTACCGCCAGCTCGTATCAACAGTACTTTGAGCCATCTCGGGGCAGGTTGCATATGACAGTAAGCGCCTCGGGGAATGGTGCGTGGTGTGCAAAGCAAAACTACCAGCTCGGAGAATGGCTACAGGTTAGATGACATACAAAAAGTAAAAATATCGATGTAAACAAGCTGCAGATGAAACGAATGATAAATCCACAGGCCGGCGTGATAAAAATAAATGCCGTTTTGGAAAATTAAACATACTTTGGACCCGAGCGTTGTGTTGCGCGGAGCAGCCCAACAGGACAGAAAGAGTACTTGATCCTGAAGACCACCAAATGGAAATTAATGGCTTTAATACAATTTTCCTTTCTGCTCAATCCGGCTTGTGTTTTTTTTTCTTTCAATATTTTCAAAGGTGGATCTGGGAGGTCTGAAAAAGGTAACAGGATTTGCCACGCAAGGCAACATGGACTGGCTTAGAGATTCTTGGGTAACGAACCTTGAGGTTATGAGTAGCCGTGATTCTGTAAACTGGTATAAAGAATTTAACGGAAAGGTAAATAATACAGCTACTTATTACCTGGCGTGTTTTCCTGTTACCATGTGCGAGAATTTTAATATGTAGATATGTGGCGGGAAAACTAGTCACGTGATCTAAGAACTGATTTTTGTTTGAGAACTAAGGTGCCTTGTAGTCGTGGAGCCGATCGAGTGTACAGGATCGAATTTTTATGAAGAATCGATGGCGATGAAACCTTTCAAGTGTGTAAAAGAGTATGGAATTTTAAAATGTGAACATGTGGAGAGATTTGCTTCTAGAAGAGTGAAGAATTAATCAATTGCCAAAATCGAAATTGCAAGAGTGTATCACATATAGTCAACTGTGACACAATTCATTTTCACACACCCTTATATTTTAGATCGATGTTTCATGCACAAAAATGTCAAAAAAGCTGCATCATGAACCTGTTGGTCTCTAATGCTTAATTAAGGAGCCTCGGTTAGAGAATATATGCAGTTTTAGGTTAATTATGTGGCACACACGAAATGCTTCATTAGAGTGACAAAGAAGACCGGAAATCAATTTCATCAGGGAGGACTATTAATCATAAATATTTTTGGTGATTAGTGCGGGCATAGTATCAAAACGTGAAAAAAATGGCGCAATTCTTTCACTTTTTCACCCATGTCCATCCTTGCTATCCCATATCCGTTTCAACAGAGAGCAGGAAACAGTTCCAGTGCGTAAAATATAGTCTTAATTAAAGAAACTGACCATTATATTTAGAATTTAATTGACGCGAAGACACGTTTTATCTTTTTTAAAAGATAGCAAACAGCTTAAAATGGCCCCTTTATAAAAACAACCCCTGAGCCGACATGCATACGTATATGCTTGAGAAGTCCGTGACAATTTGGACCCACTAGAAAGCCTCACAATATTTTTCTCCGTACTTTTTCTTGTATTACAATGACCAATGTTTGTTTGCTGTATGTTTATCGCTTTTAGATGGTCAGTGCAAACATTGATGCGAACTCAGCTCAGTATAACGAGGCACCGGCCCCTTTCATCGCTCGATACGTTCGGTTTATACCGAAACACTGGTACAATGACATTTGTATGAGAGTTGAGATCTACGGCTGCGACTGTAAGTTACATTTTAACTGATTACAAAGCAAATTTGTAACTTCGTAGATTTAACACATACTTTATCTGTAAGAGAATCCGGATTCTGGAAAAAGGGGAATTTTTGTTTGTGGAATCCAGAAGCTAAGGATATCTTGAATTACCTTACATGAAGCGATTTCTTTGAAAGCACATTACTAATGAACAAGGAAGGTGTTACACATCCAATTTTAGTCGCAATAAGTCTCTGCTTTAAAACCTTGGGAGGGCTGTCAGTCTAGTTATAATTTCTATCTGTAAGAACCCCTAAAACTCTCTCAAGCTTTTAGCACAGGGCGTTTTCCATTTGTCAGAACTGAACGGCCAGGCCATTCCCGTCGTAATGCGAATTTCACTATTAATAAAAGCTATCCAACCAGATCAGTCAAATCCTAAATAGCATGCACAAAGGAAATCGTTTTTCTTCAAAAACTCTTGGAAAAAGCCTATTTCATTTTCAAAATGACCGGTCCGGCGCCAGATCTGACTTCTTGAAAGCTCCCTCAATTATGAATAATAATATGAACAAACGTTGCCACGCGACATTTACACATGAAACGATGATTGCCATATTTTCAGAACGCCTTTAGAAATAATCCCTTGGTGATAGGTTATTGCTCTTTTCTTGTAGCTTAATCCGCGCTCGCCGGATGTTCACCATCTCCAGGACATCAATACAATACTGTTCTGATGAATTAACTGTAGCATAGAAGGGGTGTTTATATGTCACCAATGACTAATTTGGACGAGAAGGGAATTACAATTGACCCTCTTCACAACAGCCACCTTGGAGACAGACGGAAGTGGCCGTTGTTGTGAGGTTTAAACAAGAGTTTTCTGCCAAAAAAATGGCCGCTGTAGAGAGGTGACCAGTAGTGGAAGTTAGACTGTAGCCCTTTTCTAAGCGACGAATCTATTTTTATTTACTATTATTTTTTTCGAGCCTTTTAATATTTGGAGTTGTTTTCACTGAAGAGTGGGAGGTGATAATGAAAGGGCTGATACTATTACCAAAGTAGTATAGTGGGTAAGGAGCCAACCCATTTTACGATGGAAATACGTTAACGCAAGGTGCAGTGGGGGATCCAGGGGCACCGTCCCGCCCTAAATTTTTTTGTGACCAGGCCCCCCTTATCTTAGGGTCTGGAAGACCGCCCCCCCCCCCCCCCCCCCCCCCCCCCCCCCCCCCCCCCTCCCCCCCACCGCGCCCCCCGCCCGGCGCCCCAGCGTATCCCCCGCTGGGCCACCTCCGCCCCATGTACTCGTCTGTTTTTGTGTGGTGCGCGTCCGTCTGCGCGGGGCCGTTTGCTGCGGATGGGACTACGCGGTAGTCCCTTGTCCAGCCATGAGCCCACT